GTTTTCAAGTTCAGCCTGGTTATGGCAAGCCATTTTAACATAAATTCGGTTTTACCGCCCTTACATTCCAGATATCTCAAATTGTTTTGTGACTAGACGTTTTAGTGATTTAAGATATCTCTAATTATATTTCGACTAGACAAAATAACTATTTGAGATATCTCTAATTACATTCTGACTAGTCGAAATGACGTCAGATTTACCATTGACTTGTATGGAGACTTCAATTCAAGATATCTCAAATGAATTACTGACTATCTGAAATACACATTTCAGATATCTACTATTAAATTATGACTAGTCATAAAGTAAATTCAAGATATCTCGATTTTGGTTTTGACTAGTCATAATTGTAATTAATGATATCTCTAATGACTCCATAATTCAATATATCTTAAATGTATTTTTGGATAGGAGATATGTAGTTTTGACTAGATATCTTAAAATCAAATAATGACTAGACAAAACTAAATTAAAGATTTCTTGAATTGTAATTTTGACTAGTCAAAATTCCTTTTCAGAAATCTCCAAATGAATTAGAGATATTTTGAATTACACAGCTTTTCTATTTAAGATATCTTAAATTGACATTCCGACTAGTCAGAATGACATTATTGATATCTTGAATTAGTATTCTGTCTAGTCAAAACGTCCCTGACTTGCGTAGCAATTTGAAAGTTTAATAAAACAATGAAAAATAGAGAAAATGAAAAAAAGATGTTTGAAAATGCGCCACTTTCATGTTGAAAATGGTTTGACAATAGCAATTCTAGCTTTTCAAAGCTGTTTTTAAGTGCATTCGGTTCGTCGGAAATGAATAAACAGGAAATTCTTTGCAGATATCAGAAGCAGTCTTATAGTTTATGAAGTTTTACAAAGTCCGCATTTCCAACATTGTCGAGCTCTTTCTAATTTGTGGCATTTACTGATAATTGTGTGCAGGAAACATAAAATTCTGCAGGCAACTGTTTGGACACCACACAGGGGCTTCCATGTCATTCTTAATTCAGATATCTAAAATTGTAATTTTGACTAGTCATAATTGTGTTGAAGATATCTTAAATCGTAATTATGGATATGTGTCCCATCAAATGACAGATCCAGTGACGTCATTTAAAATATCTTGAAAGGAATTTTGATTAGT